AAAACGGTTACTGCTCTGAATGCTCGTTTCATTGTGCACTCAACTTCGGTGTTGAGCGGCTGTGTACGTGTTCCATTTTCAATTAAAATAAATGACCGCGCGGTCGGGATTGCTTTGAGTATAGATGATACGGTATGCTTAGCTTTGGAATCTTCCAAACATGAACTAATAAGATTTTATAAACATATTTCTTGTATTTTACGAATCCGATGATTGCTTCTCCGAAAAAGATTGTTTCTGCTATGCTGTCTTATCTATCGTTTATTAACAAACATTCGTGTGTGACGTTTCCCCAATTCTTAAATTCGAAACACTTCGAATATAAGAACATACGTTTCAAGTGTAGTTGAAAAGGAAAAAGAATATGAACTGAAAGTGGAAAAGAACATATAGAGAAATACTTTAGAATTTAAACTTTATTCAAAACGTAATAATCGACACCGTAGATGCCACGTGAGAATCACGTGTACGTGACGTGTAATAGTTTCTTCGTTTTTAATTCTTTCTCACTCTTTTTGCGTTGAAAGAATGCCAACCTGGAAGGGTGGAGTTGCATGTGAGAAATTCGGTTTGTTTAAATATTTAATTTTCTTTCTAATTATTTGATTTAGTCGGGTATTTCATAGGAACGTCTTGGGGAAAAAATGGCGACTCGGGCAGCGGCATTTTCAACACATCGGGATATTTTTTGGGAATGTCGGTCGGAAAGAAAAACTTTGTTTTTCAAGATACTTCGAATATGCCACTAACAGAAGTGGCTGACCACCGCCCAGACAGTAAGATTTTCAGCTCGGATGTAATTCTGGGGATCGCTGGGATTGGCGGACCAGGGGTAAGTGGATTCAGTTAGAGTATTGGTTTATTCTTTATGTTTCAGCTGGGTTCGGCGGAAGAACTTTACAAATCCGAAAAGCGCTCTCGCTCATGAATTCTTCAGTTCTGCGATTTTTTGAATTAAATTTAAATTTTTAAATTTTCTGTTTTCGTTATGAGAATATAAAATAAATATTATGGATTTGCTGCTTTTCGACACGATACGTATGATGTTCGCCGATTTTGAAGAAATGCCGCCCGGCAGATTTCGAAATTTGAAAAAAATGAAATTACATATTGTTAAACAAAGAAACAAACGTTTCATTTCTCGTAGAAAACAATCTTTATGATATACCAAAGTGCATTAGTCAAACTATGCTTTGAGTCACAGCTACGCGAGACTGCAACCTCTACGAACCGTTCTGTACAGACGAGGAGGATAACCCTAACACCAGTTATACGTGAGTGGATAGCTATGATTCCCAAGTATCAGTAATCTCTTCAGAGAGAGCTCTCTTCTGATTAACCTGCTGGATATGTGAGTGGCCGGGCAAGAGACAACTACAGCGACTATTCTATGGGGTTAAATATATTTTCTTAATCATTCGGAGGTAACCGAGGATTTTCGATGTTTGATCTAATCCTTTGCCAGGTGACCAAGAAGATAAGGAAGGAAATTCTTGGAGCGGCTCTGACGCTCAAGGATAAGAACGCCACTCCATACTTTAATGCTGCTATCAACGTGAGTTCCGATTGACGCCTCTCTCAGAAAACTGATGTGGTTCTAGGACTCGCTAGGATTGATCCAGTCTATCAGGTATTGCCTCAGGGAATGTTCTTTAGTTTGAATGAGTGTCAATTATGTATTTTAGAATAATTTTTATTAAATATTTATTGTTAAGACTAACATTCATGTGGCAACAGTTCGAAAGAGAGAGAATATACGAAGCCTTCACTCCTTTCCAGTTGGCAAAGCTACGAACTTCAATGAGAAGTCTTCATTGATATTGAACAATCCACTTGTGTTGATTGCCACCATGGAAGGAATTTTACCGACGGCTTGGAAATC